TGTTTGTTAGCCAGACAGACCATAACGTGATGTTCGTTAGCCAGACAGATCATATTTTGATGTTCGTTAGCCAGACAGACCATAACGTGATGAGTGATGTTCGTTAGCCAGACAGACCATAACGTGATGTTCGTTAGCAAGACAGACCATAACGTGATGTTCGTTAGCTAGACAGACCATAACGTGATGTTCGTTAGCTAGACAGACCATAACGTGATGTTCGTTAGCCAGATAGACCATAACGTGATGTTCGTTAGCCAGACAGACCATAACGTCATGTTCGTTAGCCAGACATACCATAACGTGATGTTCGTTAGCCAGACAGATCATATATTGATGTTCGTTAGCCAGACAGACCATAACGTGATGAGTGATGTTCGTTAGCCAGACAGACCATAACGTGATGTTCGTTAGCAAGATAGACCATAACGTGATGATCGTTAGCTAGACAGACCATAACGTGATGTTCGTTAGCTAGACAGACCATAACGTGATGTTCGTTAGTCTGACAGACCATAACGTGATAAAGAATGGAACATTTCACTCACCCATAATGCCAGTCTCTAGACTCGTGGATTTTCGTCAGGTGTTTGTTTTAACTTTTTACATCATTCCGGAATGGAACAACTTAATTTTACAAATTGGTCCGTGTTTGTATATGAACAAGATAGCTTGAGTACCGTTTCCGTTAGGTCAGGGGTCGGCAACCCGATATCCAATCCAGTTAGAAGGTGTTTGCCGTGTTGAGGCCTGACTAATGGGAGACACCTCCTGAACATCACGTTATGGTCTGTCTGGCTAACGAACATCACGTTATGGTCTGTCTGGCTAACGAACATCACGTTATGGTCTGTCTGGCTAACGAACATCACGTTATGGTCTGTCTGGCTAACGAACATCACGTTATGGTCTGTCTGGCTAACGAACATCACGTTATGGTCTGTCTGGCTAACGAACATCACGTTATGGTCTGTCTGGCTAACGAACATCACGTTATGGTCTGTCTGGCTAACGAACATCACGTTATGGTCTATCTGTGTAAGAGAATGACAGAGATTTGTAAGGCGTAGAGATGGGGGAAGGAGAGGGTGGAGAGTAGAGATCGGTTAGCATCTTAATAAGCAACAACTAGAAAACAAACATGCACCTAGATTTTATTAAAAAAATATTCCAAGATTTTAATTGTTTATCAAACAATAACTAATATCATTGGTGATTTCTACTCTGATATATGCATTGTAAAATTATTTAGTCTTTCTGTTAATAAAAGAAAAAAAATAGTTGCCTAATAGCTAAGATATTTTATTTATCTAAATAATGTTTTTTTTCCTAAAGGTAAATGATGATTAAAATGTGATGTCAAATTACGTTGTCATCAAGCCTTGTATTATTTTGGTTCAGGACTAAATCGCAGCTACTCCTGATGTGTGCTATAGTTACTTTTAAACTAAATTATTATTTTTTTTAACATTATCCATTTTTAATTTAAAACTGCAGTTTTTTACCCCTCTTTGCTCTGTCGGCAGGGCCCCCCCCCCCCCCAACTAGCCCTTCCTGCCCCTACATTTAGTTTACCCCTGTCGCCGATAAAAGTATGTCAAAAAAGCTAAGCATATTACATAATCATTTATTTACAGAATGATAACTTTCAGTCATTTCTTTTTTAATCCTTGCAAATATTGCGGTTTTTCTTTACGTCTAAAGAATTTTTGATTAATTTTTAAGTAACAACGTTTGAAAGATAATAGTAATAGATGTTAATTGATTTTAATCAGTAAAGTAATTTAATTCTATTGTTTGAACCATAAAGTTATAATAATTTTATCGTTACACCGTGTTACCTATGTATTTTTGGCTCGTTTTGGGCCAGGTGTAACAATTATAAATATCATGGGTGTATAAATATCATCAATCACAAGAAAACATGATAAGAAGATAAATTGACGAGTAGGTACACGATGTTGACACCACTCCACATTGTTTCACATACTGCCTCATTCACACTCTTTGTCCCGCTAGCACACCACTTTCAAGGGGAGGCTACTCACACACACTCTCTCCCTGCCTACACATTTTCTTTTAGACATTCCACGTCACACACCGTATTTATCAACAACTAGGAAATCTACATTTATATTGTTTAACTGTTAGGAGGGTGACACCCACTTCTCTCCCGTCATATGCTATGCGCCCTATTGCACGCTAAAACTGCATGCAGCCTTCTTTTATTTCTGGATTTTCTTCCATAGCCTGTGTCCATCCAGAAATAAAGTACAAGGCAGCAGTTGTTTCATTTATGAGTTTTTCTCTGCTAGATGTCTCAAGCTAACGTGCCTAATCTGGCATAGGGACTGAACTCGTGACTTTAGTGATGCAATACTCAGCTCTTTTACATGAATACGGGGATAAAGACGTGGCGGTGTGACGTCATTGACACTATAGACATGGCGTCGTTAACATAAATATATTTGTATTTGGTATAGCATTAATATTATAATTAAACTACGAGTAAAAAGACAAACATGATTCATATTTGCAGCTAGACTCAACTAGACACATGGCTAGTCTAGATCGGGGGTCTCCACGGAAAAAATGTCTGTTAGAAGTGGCTGAGGAACTTTTCCCAGAAAATTCAAAACAATTTGAAATGTAGCTTTGTGTGCAAATACCTTTGCCCACCGTGTTGCAGACATTAGTGAAAACATCGTGATTCAAAAAGCGAAAAATGCAAGCACGTTTCACTATTTTTTAATTGCAATGGATGAGTCGCTGGACAGCTGTTCCACCTCTCAACTGCTTGTGTTCAGTAGGGGTGTGGAGGAAGACATGAACATAACACAAGAGCTGGCTTCCTTACATAAAATGTATGGCACTGTTACCGGAGAGGATATATTCAATGAGTTAAAGAAAACATTTGCTGATTTTAAATTGGACTGGACTAACCTCAGTTACCTGACTGTTGGTGGGGAAAAGTACATTAGTGGCATAAAGAAAGGTTTGGTTGGACAAGCGAATGAGAAAAATTTTCTACAACCAATGCTCCTGCGCTCTATTAATATTATTCATCAGCAAGCTTTGAGTGCTAAATATATGGACTTAGCAGTGTACTGAATCCTGTGGTGAAGATGGCGAATTTAATAAGGTCATATGGGCTCAACAATAGATGTAGAATACGTGAAGAATAATTTAAGAGCAAACTTGGACCTCGAGTGTGCTTGTCGGCCCCTGACAGTGTTTCTTTCATTCTTTCAGATTTTTTCTCTGTGGGGGGGGGGGGGGGGGGGCACTTGAAATGTGTATATATTTCTATAAAAATTATATTTTATTGGGGGGGGGGGGGCGGTGGACGTTTTTCGGGGGGGGGGGGGGGGCTCCATAACACCGAATATATGCCCTGAAGATACTGTGGCCCCCGATCTGATATTTGATAGCCAATGCGGCCCTCGGTCTGTAAAGCTAGGAGACCCCTAGTCTAGATTAAAGTAGACAGGTCAATGCTACTTCATTTGGCTGTTGACTAGATTTCACTTCAGCTGAGTTATTTGTCTTTATTGAAATCTGTGGCGAACAGATCTAAATGTTAAGGGTGAATCATCTTCTTAACCGTAATGAGAGATGTTTGATGTGTGAAACCATGTAGGCCTACATTGATTTGTTTTTAATTAAAAAGAAACGAACAAAAATAAAATCAAGCTCGAGTAGAAGTGTTTGGTTTATCGTAACAATTATATATATATATATATATATATATATATATATATATATATATATATATATATATATATATATATATATATAAACTATTTGTGTGTATATATGTGTGTGTGTGTGTCTGTGCTTGTGTGTGTGTTGGGTAAGTGTTAATTCGCATACTGATTAAAACACAAGAAAGGTTTTTGTATCGAGAAAAACTATTTTTTTTTTATTTTATACCTTGAATCAAACTAACAGTTACTGGCAGTATATTATAATACTAATAGTTTCGCTGTCTGTCTATCTATCTATCTCTCTATCTATCTATCTATCTGTCTGACAAGAACGCTCTAGAGAAAACACAAGCAAAATAAAAACATGCACAGTAATTCGAAAAACGAAGTATGACGCAGTCACATTTAGCATAGAGTAGAACATAATCTCAAACCAGAGAGTGCACACAGTAATATGACGTCATTGATTCTCGCGTAAACATTGAAAAAAAGGAAATTTTGTCTAATCTCAGTGGTTTCATTCATACAATTCTTCGGGTAGGGGCGAAGCCCAACCCCCGCGTAAGAACGTCTGAGCCCCCCCCCCCCTCCCTAACTCAAAAGAAATTTCTTCATCGATACTCTATAATAAAATTACCGCCTAATTAATGTGTCTAATCTAAAAAGTGGTTTTCTTGCAATTTCTTTAATGCAATTCTTCGGGTAGTGGCTAAGCGCGACACCAGTGTTTCTTTCAGACTTTTTCCTCCCCGGAGAGGGGTGGGGGTACTTGAAATTTTCGGGGGCGGGGGTAGAATTTTCGGGGAGGGGGGCGGACACTGGAAAAAGTATATAATTATATTTCGTTGAATGGGACGGTAGACATGTTTTTTGGGGGGTGGGGGTGGGGGGGGGAGGTGGGGGTGGGGGGTGAGGGTGGGGGGTGTTGGTGTGGGGGGGGGTGAGGGGTGTTGGTGTGTGGGGGGTGTGGGGGGGTGGGTGGGGGTGAGGGTGGGGGGTGTTGGTGTGTGGGGGGTGGGGGGGTGAGGGTGGGGGTGTGGGGGTTGTGTGGGGGATGGGGTGGTTTTAGTTTAGAGAAAATAGACAGCACTATCAACCTAGCGCCCGGTGTATCCTTCCTCAACGGGCCATTTTTCTCGTTTCAAAATATTTACAAAGGCATAACGTATTATTTTTATTAATATATCTAACATATTTAGATTTTCTCGAAAATATGGATGTCGTATTTTACATACAAAAAACTAATTTTTATTTTAACAAAAAAAAACGGTCCACAAAAATTTTTTAATACATAAAAACCAAAGATATGTAAAAATAGAGTTATCATTTATGTTCTTGGAGTCAAGTGTAACATTTAAATTGGTGATCACAATGAATTAGTTGGAACTGTGTAATGATGACTAAACAAATAATACATAAACCATATAGTTTATGTAGACATGTAGTCTACACACATAGTAATTAAAAACCAACATATAAACCATTCACATTTGTGTAGACATGTAGTCTATACACATAGTAATAATTAAAAAACAACAGATAAGCCATTCACATTTTTGTAGACATGTAGTCTACACATATAGTAAGTGGTTAGATTGTGTTTAACATGGCGGTTATATATTTTATTGTTTTGAGAATTTACCATCCACCATGTTTCGTGTTGTGCTTCTATAAACTAACAATAGTAAAACTACTCAAGCCGGTTAAATTTGCGCCTTGTTCTGCGAGATACACTTCAAGGTAAAGTTCTTGACCTTTCTTTAATTCAACAACCACTGACCCAGCAGCGCTTGTGTCGGCACATTTCACTTCTATAGACATACACCACTCGTCTCCAGCCATCACAGCAACTCTAATCTCTTTATCTTCCCATTCATGTAGACAGACACAAACAAGATATAAACCATCATGTGGTGATACAAATTTTCCTGTTGTTTGATTAAAATGTTGACCGTTATATTCACGTACTTCTTTAAATGTTGAAATAGTTGATCCAGCACTGACATGTGTGGAATCAAGCGTCACATGACAAGCATATCTGTTACATACACGTGACTCTGTTGATTAGAAAACATATGTATGATTTACATGTTTAATTTCATACATACTCTGACTATTTGATTCATACAATGTACATTTTCATTAATAATTTCAAATAGTTTCATTTTTTTTTAAGAACATTAATTTTAACTATTTGTTTTGTACCGCCCTAGGTTTTAGTGTTTTTAGTTTTATCACATAAGACGATTTGAAACTATTTTTTATACACGTGTAGCAGGTGATGTAATAAGTCATCAAAAGTAAAACAAATACTATATACGTGCACTACATTCTGTGTGTGTTCACATTATAGTATAATTATAGAAAGTTTATCTAATGAAACAAAAAAACAAATGTTATTCTGTTGTCATATCAGATTCTTATACAACCGGTGACACGATAAGTACAATCAACATTAACTATTGTTTATTTCACGTTAGTTGAAATAATTAGATAATAAGATATTAAAAATTTAACATTTTTTGTGTAAGAGTTATTTTATTTTAGATTTAATTCCTGGTTTTAATGCGACACAGTTTTATTAGTAGAAACGTAAAAGTATGAAATGACGGTAATATAAATAATTTAATTTTAAACTGCAGCTCTGTAAATGACTTACTGTACTAGGGTCGACCGCTGTAGGTCGACCCCCGACATACCAGGTGGTGTAATGTACCAGGTGAGGAAACAAACATCTGACGGAAACCCACGGGTCTAGAGACTGGCACTATGGGTGAGTGAAATGTTCCATTCTTTATCACGTTATGGTCTGTCTGGCTAACGAACATCACGTTCTGGTCTGTCTGGCTAACGAACATCACGTTCTGGTCTGTCTGACTAACGAACATCACGTTATGGTCTGTCTGGCTAACGAACATCACGTTATGGTCTGTCTGGCTAACGAACATCACGTTATGGTCTGTCTGGCTAACGAACATCACGCTATGGTCTGTCTGGCTAACGAACATCACGTTATGGCCTGGCTAACGAACATTACGTAATTTTTTTGGAAACAAAAATTCAGGCAAACCTACCTAATAGATTCAAATCTTTGGACAACCCTGAAATAGTAGCTTCAATAGTTTCAAGCTAAAAAAAAAATTTTATAAAATGAATGCAAAAATCTCTTAGTTACTTAATGCATACGATAGCTGCATTGATGTTAACTGGTTATGGCAACTTGTAAGAATAAGAAATAATTTAAAGGATGTGTTGTTTTTTAAATTATAGATGTATCATTTAATTTAAGAAAACATGTATTAACTGCTCTATCGACATAGTGTTAATAACTTTGGCCTGATTTATCAACGTTGTAATTTAATTTTTAATTAAATTACTACTAGGATACCTTCGTAATTTTTTCTACCCTAGGTTCCAACTTCTGGTTAAAGATTTGAATTAGTTTGTCAATGGGCATCAATCTTTGTTGTAGGAGTTTGCACAATACATTTTGCTAAACATCAAAACATTATATAAAAGTATTATAATTTTGCATATTATATGTAACATAAACATGTTTCTTAACATTAGTAATTATATTAAAGTATAACTGCTGATAACTGCTACTAAGTTGTTTTTTTATTTAACCTGCTTATAATAAGCTATCTGGCGAGTATGTGTAAAATTGTGAATACACATAATTAGCAGCTTTACCTTTTCTAAATGAGTTGATGTTTTACACAAGATTTTATTACACTCTTCGTGTAGGGCAGCCATCAGATCCGAATGTCTTTTAATTTCTTGTGTTATACTGTCTATTTTGTCTGTGTAATCTTGCATATCTTTATTTATTTTATGTGCGTTGTTTTCATATTCTTGTATATCTAAAGAAAGTTTCTCTAGTGTTTTGTTTGACATGGTTTCTTTTTCTTTTAAACTTTCAATTTCTTTGTTCAGCTCCTTTACTTTGTTATCTTGTTCACTCATTTGTTTTCTCAGGTTTTTAAAATTCTGTTTTTGTTTTTTAGTCAGTTGTTCAATGTTTACCCCCATGTCATGATGTTCTGTTACAAAGTTGTCTCTCCATTGTTTTATTTCTGATATGTCATCTGTAGACTTGTGTTGTGTGTCCTGTAGTGAAGATAGTGTTGTTTCAATATAGGCGAGTCTACGCTCGAGGTCAGGATGTTCTTCAACTGAGAAAAGTCGCAAATATAAGTTTGTAATTTAAAATGTCTTAGATCTTGAAAATTAGGGTGTTAAAAACGACTTTAAACCAAAGTATCAAACGTACTTTGGTTTAATATTATAATATATATACATATTTTAAAAATAAATATAGTATATTATGCTTATATTTAAGGTGTTAAACCAAAGGCATACTATAATATACCCGCTGTATGTTGAACTTGTGGTATGAGTTGCCGTGGCTGTGGTAAAGATGACGTTAGTTTGTTGACATCCATGCTGTCCTCGTCTGGTGGAATCGGATTTAAAATTTTATTTTAAGTTTAGTTGAAGTTAACAAGTATTTTATAGTACATACAATACATTTTACTAGTTTAGCTAATTAAAACTATAACACAAACCATGTAATACTCTGATGGAAATAAAAATTTGAATGTGATCCAAATAGTTCCAAAATGTCCGAAATCTATATATTGTACATGTTGTTTTAAATTTACTTTTTACACTACTGATTTTATAATTTATTATCAAAAGTATTTAAAAAAAAAATAACTTTATATAACCCCTTAATTCTCTTGAACCTCGTTTTAGGGCGAATAAGGTAACACAAAGTGATTGTAAATTCTTCATTACTTTCTCGTATACAGAGTATAGAGAAAGTATTGTAATCGTTCATAAAAATCATTTGAAATTTTGACAGCTTTCACCGTTTTACTCCTCAATTCTTCATCACATCCGGGATATAGTAGACTTATTTTAATTGGGCAAAAATTATAACTGTTCGCTATTTCCGATATCTCAAAAAGCGCATGTGAATTTATAAAGTACTAATAATATTCCGCACTATTATGCATATTTCACTTGGCGTCACTTGGCGTACAATTCTTTTTTATACGAGATTTTATACTATTTTTTTTTAAATTTAAATATTTAACATGGATTAAAATCATGTCTATATTCCGAGTTGCCATCCCACGTAGTGTTATATAAGAATATTCGAGAAACTTTAGGAGAGATCATTCCCGGTTTATTTTTTTTAAATATAACTTACATGATTCACTAATGTCGATTTTATATAAAAGTGAAAAGTGGTTTGTTAGTCGGTCGACATTACAATGATATCCCTTTAACACAGTATTGTAAATATCTGTAAACTAAACTGTAAACAATTTCGTTGCATTTTTACTTTCTCGTATATACGAATAATAGAGAAAGTCTTGTAATCCTGAGTAGGGAAAACATAGTTTTGCAATCTTGTCTGTATGTCTGTGTGTGTGTGGATGTGTGTGTATGTGTGTGTCTGTAAACAAGATAACTTGAGTACCGTTACAGCTAGGTTGGTGAAATTTCATATCAAAATCGTAGATCCGTATCAAATTTTGAGTGACTTTCGATAAATGAAAGTGGTACTTTTTCTACTTTGAATTTTTCAAAAGCCTATAACTTAAGTAGGCCTACTGTTTCAGATAGATATATGAATATTCACATGTAAGTAAAAGTTCAAATGTACTGCCTTCTAGTAAATTTTGAGTAATTTCTGTTGACAGGAAGTAGTAAATCTTTTATAAAAAATATTGATTTCTCGAAAAACGTTTGTGAATTTATAATGTACTAATAATATTCCGAAATATCAAGCACATTTTATTCAGCGTTCACTTGGGGTGCAATTCTTTTTTTCTAAGAGATTTTAATCTATTTTTAAAAGTTTGAGTATTTAAATTGGATTAAAAGTCATTTCTATGCAGCAGCGTAGCGAGAGGGGGGGGGGGGGTGGCATATGTTCCCGGGCGCCGACCATAGGGGGCGCTAAAATGGGTTGGAAAAGTAAATTGAAAGGTTGAGGGGGGTGCAAATCGAGAGTTTGAGGGGGGGGGGGGTGCAAATCGAAATCTCGAGAGGGGACGTGCAAATCGAAAGTTTGAGGGAGGTGCAAATTGAAATCTTGACGGGGGGGGGGTGGAAATCGAAAGTTTGAGGGGGGTGCAAATTGAAATCTTGACGGGGGGGGGGGGGGGTGCAAATCGAAAAGTTTGTCCCCGGGAGCCGGGAAGGGTCACTACGCCTCTGTTTCTATGTATCCTGAGTTGCCATCCCCTGTTGTTTCGTATAAGAATATTTGAGAAAGTTTAGGGGAGATCACTCCCGGTTTATTTTCAGTAGAAACGCTTCATTACTGAACACACATGACAGTAGGCTTTGAGATTTTAAATTATAAAAACTATTAAAGTACTGACCTAAAATATGTGACGTCACATCCAACAAGGCCGTGGCTGCTCTGTCCAGTTCTTGTGATAGCTCGATGTAGCTGACAGATGATTGGTCAGTTTTTTCTTCTAGCCACGCCTTACTTTTTGCAACAACCTGGTGAAAGTAAACAACATTTTAAAGTGGCCATGTGTCGTAGTGTTATTTTCATAAACATGTGTTGTTGTTTTATATGTCTTAACACGTGTACTTCGTAAAGGCTAAAGCTACTTTATCCTGTACAGAATGTTTTTTCTACATTGTAAGTGTTACGTAAGTTGGTAACTACTTACATTTTTCATATTTCCTATAACAGGTTCCAAAATTTGTATCTGTTCTTCCAAATATTTCTTATGCTCCGTAACAAGCTTTACCTGAATTCTCGAAGGCATCTGAATATTATTAAAACTACCAATTTAAAAAATATATATAATATATGTGTATTAGTTGTTTTATTAGACAATATCAATGTTATCTCTGTCATTATCAGTAAGTCGATATCTAAAGTCGATAATATGTAGACCATGTGTTTCCATCTACATAATTCTTAATTAAATAATTACTATTCCACTGCAAATTTTATAATTTACAAGCATAAAATAATTATTTTATCTCACGATAATTAAAGCAGAGTAATAACTGCTCATTTATTCATTAAAATAGTCAGTCCAGTACATATGTCATCAATATCCGTCAATATGTCTAAATCCCTGAATATGACTATAAAGAGGGGTACAGGAAAGCATCCTTAAAAGGGTCTGATTGTGGAGATATTGTTTTCATAACGTAGTTTACTCTTATTAAATATAAATCCACTGCGCCCATTCGTCAGACTTAAATTAAATCTATAATTACATGAAAACTACTTTAAGTATTGTTATAGCTTTTACAGATCTGTTTACTAAAGTCACAGGTAATTATGTAATACATATCAGAAAAATGCGATAGTTTTCCTTGGCTTCACTTATGATATTTCCTGCTTGCTAAAATTATACACCTGGTTATTTCCGTTTTTCACTTTCATTATCTGTCTAGTGATTTGATGAGCTATCTTAACAATTTTTCTGTAAATTGCCTAAACATACAGTAATAAAAAACTTTTTTTTATAAAAACGACCTACATACTTTTCTATTAATAAGTATATTTTAAGGAAATTATATATTATCAAGCTGTAGCCTATACTTAAAACTTAAGACAATTTAATAACTGAGTAAGAATTAAAGTAGTAGAAGAGCTTTTTATTTTGTTTTAAATTAATTATTTTTAGGTTGTTTGGTTACATTAAAAGGAAATGCTGTTTTAAAAATAGATTAAATCGATTAAAGATTAGCAGTACCTTAAATAGGCCTAGTCTTGTTGTGGGGAATCAAATGACTGGAATAGTGTGGAGTAGCTTAACTTCCTCCGTTATATAATAGCGGGGTTTCCCAATTGTGTTGTCAATATGAGAGTTATCTCTCTTGTATTGATGATTTAACTACGTGTAGATCAGCCACAACAAGAAATCTATTTCATCAAAACAAATTTCGATCTAAAGGTAAGTAAACAATGGTAGATCTCAAACACGTCGTTTTAATTATTTACATAGCGACTAACGTGGGTGAAGTTCAGATGCGATATGGAAACATGATAGGTTGTATATCGAGGCGGTAAAATGCGAAATTGAAGCACGATAGGTGATATGTCGATGCGGTAAAATGCGAAATCGAAGCGTAATTTATCAAATGTGGAGGCGGTAAAATGCAAGCTTAAGCTGAAAGTTAAAACAGTCGTTTACGTAACATTTGTGTCGAGTAGTTGAAATACTTCACTGGGACTATTGCATCTGCAGTCGTATGCTATCAGAGGCGTAGCGACCCAAGTCGGCCCCGGGGCGAACTATCAATTTTGTGCCCCCTTCCATTTAATTTATATTTATTGACGTTAGTGAAAAAAAAAAATCATCCCCCCCCCACCGAGCTCTATTTGAAAAGGTTGGTGTCACTTTTTAGCAGTCAAAAATTTTTTTTGGTGCCACACTTAGAGAGTGTACTATTCAATACCTTAGCTATCAATTATTTCTACCCAATTATCAGTCAACAATTTAGTGGTGCTACTTTAAAAAACGCATGCTGATGTAACTTTGAAATGAACATTTATTTAGCCTATCTATCACTTACATGCAGATGTCTGAGTACAAACCCGCCCATGAATCTTTGAATATTTTGTCGGAACAGTTAGAGAAAATGCATGTTCATTTGAATTATAAATCTGTATTTTAAATAAATATTTGTATGGCTATTGCCTTTGCTAACGACGAACATTTATTTTAACTGAATTAATAACGAAGACTATTTATCTACTTATGTATTTTCTCTAATTAATTTGATCAAACTAAAAACCAGGAACTGGATAGATAAAACGTCTGACACTGAAATGACATTTAAAGATGTAGGATAGGTTCCATGGTAACATCCGCGAATGCTACATTAATAGAACATGTAAATATTCTAGCTGGTAAAGTGAACGTTTCTATCTTGCTTTTAGAATTGGCAGCTACATTGATATGTTCAACTTTAGTTGTTTTTTTTTTTACTATCAGTTTTTGAATATTAATTATGTAACATGTAACGGAAAATTTAGGCATGTCATTTAGTTATTTAATGTGAGTGAATAGTTTTTTTCTTATTATGGAGCATACGAAAAAAGCAAGTGATGTTTATTTTTTGAACAAAGACATAAGTTAATATATCTATTTTAGATTGATAAAGTTTGTAGTAAATCAAATTGAAAAGTTGAAAATGATAGATAGTTTTTGTCCTTATCAAAACATTTTTTATGTTACAATCGCTTTCTAACAAAATTGTATATTCTTACCAATTAAAAAGTTTCAAATAACCCATCGTTAGACCAAGCTTTTTTTTTACAGAATACATATTACGGTCTACCAAGACAGTTAGTACAACACAATACACCTGGTGTAACAGACACCAAGAAATCTCAAACTAGTCAGAGAGGTTTGTAAATTAAAGAACAATTAATAGCTTAATATGTTTTTAAACTATTGTTTCATAAACAGTTATTAACTGTTTAAATTTAAAGGAGTTGAAATAATACACTAGTAATTATTTTGTTGTTGCTAGTCTGTGGAAGCATCTCTCATTTTGTTTCTGTAGTGTGCTAAACCATGCATGCTATATATACATACTCTAATCAATCTTATTCAATTCCGGATTGTCAAATCGTGTGAAACTTTTTGAGAAACTTACAGTTTCTCTTCAAGGAACAAAAAAAATGCTGAAGATGACGTGTCAGAATTAAAACGATGGAGAGAAACCTTGGTAACAGAACAGTGCGACTGGACAACAAGAATTGAACAATTAAGTAAAAAGGAAAAGCAGAATTTTAAAAACATCAGAAAACAAATGAGTGAACAAGATAACAAAGTAAAGGAGCTAAACAAAGAAATTGAAAATTTAAAAGAAAAAGAATCCTAATAAAAAAAAACACTAGAGAAACTGTCTCTAGATAAAAAAGAATATGAAAACAACCTACACAAATGAAATAAAGTAATGCAAGTTCATACAGATATTAATAAAATAATGGCCGACGTATCAACCAGCATTACTAAATTACAATTAAAGGTAAGTCAAAATAACATTAAATTTTCGAAACACTTGTGTACACCATTCTTCAACTCATCTGTAATTACAAGTTTAAATCTGAACACAGCCCTAAACAGCTGATGTATATAAAGTCTAGAAGTGTTTACATTATGAAACTAAACTTTCTTTCAACATTTGTTTTAAGGCTATTTGGTGTCACCCTGTGAGGTTCGCACCCCCGCCTCGCGACGCCTCTGTACACACATACAGGTAGATTAAATCATAATTTTTAGAGAATGTTAATTGTTTCCAGGCATCTTTTCCACCCCCATCACCCCCTCCCCCCTGAACGAAATGGAATTTATATAGAAAATTTTTACATTTAACAGTGTCCGCTCCTCCGGAAATTAGAGCCCCCCACCCCCTCTCCCCCCGAGAGAAAAATCTGGAAGAAACATTTCACGTAACTTCAGAAGCAGGATGGGTTTAGCTAATTATACTCATGTTTAGGACTGGATTACACACGTTTTTAAAGATTGTAATTCAGCTTGAGGAACTTGAAGAGAGCAGTAAAAGCAAACACATAGCTTCATTTTATTTTAACAGGTTAATTTTCTTCTATGTTTTCATGCAATACAATTTTTGTTCAAATTTATGATTTTGCCTTACTAGAAATAAATTTAAATTTATTTCAGCTTTTTATTAAAATATGCCTTAATCAAACTAAATTTAAATAATATTGTCTATGTTTTCTAACTAATAAGTTAAACAAACGTTACTATTATTACTATACATTCATCAACAAATATACATGATTTGCTTATGCAAAACCTAATATATTTCGTTTACAGCAAGAAACTTTGGGCATTATTCCCTCAACAGACTGATGAATTTAAGGACAGTGGTACACTGGTCTCTTATAAAGTAAATAAAACAACAGCACAAACATGCTATAAATCATTGTTTCGGTAATTGATTTAACTGTTATATTACAGAGAGGGATTATCCTGAAAAAAACCTACACCAGCTATGTGAGACCTACGTTAGAATATGGTGCTTCGGCTTGGGGCTCAGCAGCAAAAACAAATATTAGCAAAATTAGCTGGTAAAAATTGGGGGAAAGAAACAACAACCGGAAATCTCGCTACACCCAAAAGAAATAAAAAGAATAATAAAAAACAAACGCAAATGTGGTCTGACACACACCCTCACTAAAATAAAGATGATGGATATTATAATTTGACACGAAAACAACAATACATAATCTTTCGACTTTGAACAGGCCATAACAGACTAAATCAACACATGCATAAAAAACTAAAGGTTGGGTGTGGCGAAATGTTTCCTTGTGGTATGACCCCGGAAAATACGGAGCACGTTCTTTAGGAATGTTCTTTGTATAGCCAGGCGCGAGTCAGACACTGGCCCCTGCTCACCCCACTCAGGGAAAAATTATATGGGGCACCTGCTGATCTGGAGACCACAGTCCGGTTTGTTCACGAAGTTGGACTTCTTGTTTAAATCCTCCACCATATTCTCAATTAAGAACGAAGAAGAAGAGGGATTTTACTTGTTTGCTCATTCTAACTTCTGACATTCTTTGGACTTTTTACTTGTAAAACATATGTGTTTTGTAAGTATTGTCTTGAAATTATATTTAGGAAATAACTTTAATGATATCACAAGCGGGAAAAATTGTAGATGTCTATTACTTGTTTGTTTACCGAAGGAGATTAATTAAACACATGGCCAAATATCCTGTATACTGAAATACAAAATAAAACCATATGTGTAACAAGTCATTTAGTAAACAAAAAACTCTTAATTTAATACTCCACAGTTATATGCATACGAAAGTGTACAAGAATTAATACACATATTTGAAAATGTGACTTCACCGTTGTTTTGTTACAACATTAATCTCTTAGGCAAATAAATAAAAAAAACTTATGTTACAATCTCGTGTTATAGATGATAGGCCTGCATATTGTGCTGGGTGTTGTATCTATACGTAATGTTTATATTAAGCATGTAGGAAAGAATCAGAATGTATTTACGATGCGTCGTCAGAAATTGTCAACAATCGACAATATATGATTACTTGAGAAATCAAAATGTACTTTACACGCAAGAAAACTCTAACAATGTTTTCTATGATAATGTTTAATTATATTTATCTTAAACAAGATTCTCAAAACACACATATTATCATTTAATTTCTAACTGCATATTTTATCTCTGCCTAAGGTAGTGTAGGTTTGTAATTAGCCAAGAAATGTACCAATTTGTATTAGCAAAGAGTTGACTAACTTGCTAATTTAAAGCAGCCTTTTGGCAATGTATATATTTTTATTTATGAACTAACAATCTGGGGTAAAGTGTATAGTACTGCTTTGTAGGAATCTCCTAGCATGGAGATTTAAGCCTCGAACAGATAAAACGGTACTAGGGTTCAAATAATTAACATATTTATTACAAAAGTTATTTATTACATAATTTTTTATGTTTCCTGTTGTATGTCTATAAACTAACGATCGTAAAACTACTTAGCCAGGTTAACTTTGCGCCTTGATCTGCGTGATACACTTCAAAGTAAAGTTCTTGACCTTTCTTCATGTCAGCAACCACTGACCCAGCAGCGCTAGTTTCTGCAGACTTCACTTCTATAGACGTACAACAACTGTTTCCAACCCACATACGAACTCCAATCTGGTTATTTCCCCACTCATGTAGAGTGACACCGACAAGATATAAACCATCATGTGGTGATACAAATTTTCCTGTTGTTTGATTAAAATGTTGACCGTTGTATTCACGTACTTCATCAAAGGTTGAAATAATTGATCCAGCACTGACAGGTGTCTCAAAGGCAAGCTTTACATGACAAGCATATCTGTTACATGCACGTGCCTCTGTTCAATGAAAAACATATGTGTGATTTATAAGTTTAATTTCACAAATTCTCTAACTATTTGCTCAATGATATTTGTGAATTGTCGTTTCATCAGTTTATATTATTAATCCTAAACATAATCTCATAAATGTATTTTGTATGCAGTTCAGAATTTAAGTAAATTTGGCAAACCCCAATAAATTTTTTTTTCCAAAAACAATAAATTGTGTAAAATGGTCCATAATGTTTACATAATTTTGTCTAAGACCACACATTGAAACACTAGACCACTAGTTTAGTACGGTCCTCAGCTTTAGTGGTGTTAGTTTACCGTGTACTACGTATTTGAAACTACGAGTGTAGTAGTTGACGTAATACTACACTAAATGAAAACAAATGTTATATGCTTTTCATTATAATGTGTCTACAACAATGGTCTGTTTGGCTAACGAACATCACTTTACTGTCTGTCTGGCTAACGAACATCACGTTGTGGTCTGTCTGGCTAACGAACATCACGTTATGGTCTGTCTGGCTAACGAACATCACGTTATGGTTTGTCTGGCTAACAAACATCACATTAAGTCTGTCTGGCTAACGAACATCACGTAATTTATTTTTTTTTTTGAAAAAAAAATTCAGGCAAACCTACCTAATAGATTCAAATCTTTGGACAGAACTGAAATAGTAGCTTCAATAGTTTCAAGCTGAAAAAGATTTAATAAACAGAGTGAAAAAATCACATAGTTACGTACAACATACAATAGCTGCACTGATGTTAACTGGTTATGGCAACTTGAAAGAATATAAAAAAATTTAAAGGATGTGTTGTTTTTTACTTTCTCGTATATACGAAGTATAGAGAAAGTATTGTAATCGTGCACAAAAATAATATGAAATTTTGACAGTTTTCACAGTTTTACTCCGCAGTCCTTCATCACATCCGGAGTATAGAGGACTAATCAGGCAAACATTATAAATACAAATATTTAAACGTTTTGGCGTTTTATGCGTTATCAAGTCGTAAAAACTTAAATTAACTTTGCAGTTCTGTTCCTATGTGTGTGTATAACTCTGTGTCTGTGTGTAAACACGATAACTTGAGTACCGTTAAAGCTAGGTTGATGAAATTTCATATATAAGTATTTTATCAAAATCGTAGATCCTGATAAACTTTTGAGCGATTTCCGATAACCGATTGTGGTACTTTTTCTACTTTGAATTTTTCAAAACCCTTTAAGTTGCGTACTATTTTAGATAGATGCATGAAATTTCAAAAATAAGTAAAAGATCTAATTCTCTACGTTCTGTCAAATTTTGTGTAATTTCCGTTTACCGGAAGTACTAATTTACGCTATTTCTGATTTCTCAAAAACGCATGTAAATTTATAAAGTACTAATAATATCCCGCACCTTTATACACATTTTATTAGGCGTTCACTTAATGTGGGACGGAGTGGTCTAGCGGTAGAGAGCTGGACTGCTAACCCGTTAGTCTCGAGTTCGAATCCGAGTTCAAGTCATCTGATGAGTACCTAACTCCTGTTAGGGAAAGTAAAGGCTGCTGGGCTTAGTGCTGACCACACTATCTCTTCATATGCTGAGGTCACTGAAACAAGAGAAATCTACTTCACTTGCCCCATAGACCGTCAGGTTTGAAAAGGAAACTTTTCACTTGTTGTGCAATTCTTTTTTACGAGATTCTATTCTATTATAAAAAGTGTAAGTAATTAAAAATGGATAACAAATATTGTCTATATCCTGAATTGCCATTCCTCTTAATTTTATATTAGAATATTCGAGAAAGTTTAGGGGAGATCACTCCCGGTTTATTTTAAATTAAAGATGTATTACTTAATTTAAGAAAACATGTATTAACTGCTCTATTGACATAGTGTTAATAATTTAGGCCGGATTTATCAACGTTGCAATTTAATTATTAATAAAATTACTACACGTATACCTTCGTAGTTCTTTCTTCCCTAGTTTCCAAGTTCTGGTTAAAGACTTGAATCAGTTTGTCAATGGGCATCAATCTTTGTTGTAGGAGTTTGTACAATACATTTTGCTAAATATCAGATGATTATATAAAAGCATTTTAATTTTAATTTTTTTTTTAAATGCATATTATATCTTACATAAACATGTGTCTTAACATTAGTAATTATATTAAGGTATAACAGCTGATAAAGTTACTAAGTTCTTTTTTTATTTAACTTGGTTATAATAAACCATCTGGCGAGTATGTGTAAAAGTGTGAATACACATAATTATCAACGTTACCTTTTTTAATTGAGTTGATGTATTACACAAGATTTTATCACACTCCTCTTGTAGGGCAGCCATCAGATCCGAATGTCTTTTAATTTCTTGTGTTATACAGTTTGTTTTGTCTGCGTAATCTTGCATATCTTTATTTATTTTGTGTTCGTTGTTTTCATATCCTTTCATATCTAGCGACAGTTTCTCTAGTGTTTTGTTTGACTTGGTTTCTTTTTCTTTTAAACTTTCAATTTCTTTGTTCAGCTCCTTTACTTTGTTATCTTGTTCACTAATTTGTTTTCTGAGGTTTTTAAAATTCTGCTTTTGTTTTTCAGTCAGTTGTTCAATGTTTACCCCCATGTCACTCTGTTCTGTTACAAAGTTGTCTCTCCATTGTTTTATTTCTGATATGTCATCTGTAGACTTGTGTTGTGTGTCCTGTAGTGAAGATAGTGTTGTTTCAATATAGGCGAGTCTTCGCTCTAGGTCAGGATGTTCTTCAACTAAAAATAGTCGCAAGTATTCAGTTTATAATTTAAAATGCCTGGAACCTTGAAAAAAAGGTTCATTAAAACAGCGTTAAACTTAGAAACGTTAATATAAAATATTTAAAAAGTAGCAGAAAAAAATAGTTTAATCTTTAACATTGCATGATATTTATTCATGATATCGCTATTTAATTTGTTATATCAAACAAAACTAAAACTTACCCGCTGTATGTTTGCCTTGTGTTTTGAATTGTCTTTGTGATTCTACTTTTAGAAATGTTGCTGTTGTCTGTGTGTCAGGCTGTGCTAAAGATGGCGTTGGTTTGTTGACATCCTTGTTGTCTCCTTCTGGTGGATTGGGGCTTAGAATTTTATTTTAGTTACAGTTCAAGGAAATAACGTTTAATTGTACATACAATATTTCTAGTATGCTGCAAAGTGTTTTAATTTTTACAATTTTTTTTTCAAATTTAGACAATCAAATTTCATTGAAATCCTTATTCGCAAAAAATCTAATATCATCATTCTGTTAAATTTTCCAGGTCTAAATATTTACATACTAATTTATTTTAAATTGAACTAAGAATTGAATACCGAGTTTATAAATTGAAAGTGTAACATAAAGTTTTAACCAAAGCGTTTAAAGAAAAATAATATAACATTCTATTAAGTTATTTTTATCTAATTCTCTTTGTGAATAAATTAAGTACGATAGTCGATTTAAAATTCTAAATGTTTACCATATTAAAAATTATAAATGTTAATAATGTGTTTGTTTTTTCCTATCTGTCAATCTCTAAGAAAATAATATATTGTGTGATAGTGGATTGAGAGTGAAATTATATCCCTTAACAATAGTGTGTCCCATTTTTTAAAGATAAATTGTAAGATTTTTTGCATTTTTCTCACACCAAACTTTTAGGCTACTTGACAGCAGGCTTAGAAATTTTAAATTATAAAGTGAATTAAAAAACTGACCAGAAATATGTGACGTCACATCCAACAAGGCCGTGGCTGCTGTGTCCAGTTCTTGTGATAGCTCGATGTAGCTGACAGATGATTGGTCAGTTTTTTCTTCTAGCCACGCCTTACTTTTTGTAACAACCTTGTGATCACAAACGTAAAAATTATTTCAACTGGCCACGTTTTGTATTGCTGTTTTATGAGAAAATGTCAAACGTTCAACACTTTCTACCGTATAAATGTTAATTTGTTGGTTTTCAAATATTAATTTGTATATTAAGTTAAAATCTATTAATATATATATATATATATATATATATATATATATATATATATATATATATATATATATATATATATATATATATATATATATATATATATATATATATATATAATTTAATTAAGCTAGTTGGACAAGTGAATTTTACTTTTTGAAAATGTGTTTAGAAAAATAAAAGGAAAAAAGTTGTTATAACACAACAGCGTTACAATAATCTTTAAAAAAAATTAGCAGTTGATTTTAGATGTTTTAATCTTACATTTTTCATTAAATTAATGACAGGTTCCAGAACTTGTATCTGTTCTTCCAAATATTGTATCTGTTTAGTAACAACCTTGACCTGAATTCGTGTAGGCATCTGGTTTAAAAATAGAATCTTCACTTATTACATTGTTTTGCTAGTCTCATAAGTCAATGTGATAGATAACAGAGGACAGAGACTTTTAGTTTAATGCCAATCCTTAGTCTCTTTTGCTTTGGACGGACTTGTAATAATTCATGTTTCATTGAACATAATTACACAGGTAAAATAAGAGTAGCATGATGTATAATCGTGTTTCGGTCGTTGATACAGAGAGACAAGTGCAAATATATGTAGATCTGCAGACGTAGCATACGCCGCTATCGACAGTACACCACCCCCTACATCCCACCTAAACCCACCCCGCCCAGTAAAAGCAGCCCCTTAATTTTAAATCGTATAATACTAAATTATCTGCCCCTAATAGCCGTCACTAACCCGGCTCTACGATTGTAAACATTCGGAGTGAACTGGAGCTTACCAGACAGGTGGAGATTGAGGTGGTGGCTAAGCTGTGTGGTGTTTTCTATGGTCTCCATGAAGAGAATTATATATAGATATAATGATTTAAATACACATCTACATAGAAAAAATGTAAAGTAATTTGTTTGGTTATTTTTAAGATTTTATCGGATCATTTTTCTTTATGGATACTTTATTTGAGGGGAGGGGCGTTGTCCAGAATTTTTTTCGCCAATATTTATAAGCAGATACGACTGGTGTCCACTTAAGTGAGGATATTTTAAACGTGTTAACAATGTAAACAACTACCTCAGTTTGGTTACTGCCTGTGTTTGAAAACATAAAATACATAACACTTTTACAACGTATCGAAACGTCTCAAATGTTGTCTAATTGACTTAAACTGAAATGAAATTACAAACCATTCCATAAATAAAATGACAACAATCACATCGATAGTTTTACAACACTTTCTTACACTAATTACATTTTTAACGCATTCATTGCAGCTGTTACCCTCTCTACGAAACGCTATTTATTTTTACAGCTGTTTAACTATAACAATAATTGTTTTGTATTTATATGGTACCTCGTTAAAAGTAGAACGGCGAAACTGAAAGTTCCTAACGGAAAAATCCGCTGCTATAAATATATCTTCTACCAGGTTATAAAGATGGCGACAACACAAGACACGTACTAGAGCAGCTGTCTTGCCTTCAACTAAAACATTTAATTTAGGTAACACACACAAATTAAACACACTACCTTATTATCTAACTATCTGTAGTGAGTGTCATTTTAATGTTTTTATACTATCTTAAACGAAATAGAAATTAACGCACATTTTAAAATTATTTTTAAAAATATTACGCTTCAAAAACATATTATATTTTTAATAAAAAAAACATACACTTTTTTACATTTTTCTTTGTTTATTGTTATCAGTAATGTATACATATTTATTTAATGGTATGTAAATTATATGGTTACACTTACTTCAAAGATAACTGCAGGAAATTTTACAGCTAGATCTAGATCTAAAATCGTTCTGCAAACATTCAACAACTGCTATGCTGCTCATGAAACCAAAATAACTGAACGGGAAATCCCGGTATTATCTAAAGAGTTGACGTCACGTTCCAAGGGACAGAACTGTCGCTGTTCACATTTATCTCGCTAGAACTCTTTAACTCACAATATAGAGGAGTGGAACTATAATAACGAAATACGGGGGGGGGGGCATATTCCGACCAAAAACAACAAATATATTTTGTACACCTTTTTTTAACATATCTACTACAGCAGTGGTTGTTCTTCAGTATGTAGCACACAATGTCGCATAGAGAAAAATCTAGATTAGCTATTAATTATCTACTAAGTTTAGCAAAACTTCAAACCACTTCCATAACTTATCACTCCGCTTTAAAAAGTATAATAGGGGTGTCAAAAGTTATGTGTCTAGTTATGTACTAAACAAATAGGTATGTTTTTACTTAATTACCATTTAAATAAGAAACAATAAAGACTGAAACAGACATGAAAATGGTATTTGTTTTACATCTTTTAGTTACTAAAGCTTTAAATAAGAAAGCAAAGTAATTTTATCTTTTTATCTTTTTTAAAACGGCCGTTTGAAAATAGGTCTATGCCTACCGGTGTTACCCTTATTGTGAACCCCAAAAGTTGATGTTTTATTGTAAAAGAGAACAGTTGATGTTTTATTGTTAACCCCAATAATTGATGTTTTATTGTGAACCCCGCTTGTTGATGTTTTATTACGAACAGACTGTAAGCAGATCAGACATTAGGGAATGTTCTGGTAGATGCTAACTATAGTTGTTCATTCCACAAGTAGAGGCTGACTTCACCTAGGAAAATAAAGCATACAAAATATAGACATTATTTCCAACAATAATTTAAACTTAACCTTGCATGTCCCATTTTATGATTTATTACATTAAAATATTATATCAGAAATCCGCTGAAAAAAGAAAACTTATTTTAATTATATCACTTTGTATTTATGCACTACCCTGCTCACCAACATTAAAATAGATCCGTCCTTTAAACACTAAACCTAGTGACACACATACACATTAGTCTTGTTGAGGTTTTTCCTACCTACACTGTTAAATATGACACATAGACTTTTTTTTAAAGTCATATCTTTACAAGTGACGTGTTAAGAGAACTCTGATAAGCTATAATAGTTCTTGGTGTTAATTTATTGAGCTGGATACAACTAACAAAGCTATTTTTAGCTTATTTTGTCTTGGTTATCACACAAAACTAATTATCGCTAAAATACAGTATATTCTACACATTGTCTATGTAAATGTAAATTGACTGGTAGGTTCACCTATATGTTTTGATAATAACATATCTAATTATAAAGAGTATATACCAACAACACAATTATCATTAAAGTTATTAGTTTATATTCTCTTACAGATGGCCGTATCGATTCCTATAAAGGAGCAATTAGCTCAACTGTTGAATAATCTGGAAGAGATGAATAGTTTGCTGAAAAGTAATTTAAGTGACTTTGATCAGCAGGTAAGTACATCTCAAAGTACGATATATTCACAAGACTTTAACTTATCTAGAACATTATTAAGCTGCTTAAGAAATACAAACGCCAAAGCTTTTTACTTAGAGCTATTTATTAATGCAAATAATTTGCTAATGGGTGATATGAAATTTCATTTTCCATCCACATTACTTTTGTAAATAGATTTATACATGGTAGTGGAATTATTTAAAACACCCAATACAACAATAATGAATATTACATCTTTCCATTTTTTTTTGCTTTTAAATTACTTGGCACCTCAATGTTTAAATATTTCAATCATCGTCTATGTTATGTCATGTCTAGCACCTAAATGTTTGAATATTTCAATCCTCGTCTATGTTATGTCATGTCTAGCACCTAAATGTTTGAATATTTCAATCCTCGTCTATGTTATGTCATGTCTAGCACCTAAATGTTTGAATATTTCAATCCTCGTCTATGTTATGTCATGTCTAGCACCTAAATGTTTGAATATTTCAATCCTCGTCTATGTTATGTCATGTCTAGCACCTAACTGTTTGAATATTTCAATCCTCGTCTATGTTATGTCATGTCTAGCACCTAAATGTTTGAATATTTCAATCCTCGTCTATGTTATGTCATGTCTAGCACCAAAATGTTTGAATATTTCAATCCTCGTCTATGTTATGTCATGTCTAGCACCTAAATGTTTGAATATTTCAATCCTCGTCTATGTTATGTCATGTCTAGCACCTAAATGTTTGAATATTTCAATCCTCGTTTATGTTATGTCATGTCTAGCACCAAAATGTTTGAATATTTCAATCCTCGTCTATGTTATGTCATGTCTAGCACCTAAATGTTTGAATATTTCAATCCTCGTCAATGTTATCCCATGACCAGGTAAAACAAGCAACACTGGAATGTTTGGACAATCCCTCAGATGCGAAAATAAATTTTAAAGAAGTGGTTGCTATGATAACAACGGTAAATACTGCCCTACTTGAACTTAAACAAACGATTTCTGGTAATATTATAATATGTAATAGAGTTTTACTTTTTGTTGTTATTTACTAAATTTGATTAATAATTTAGAACGATCAAAAACAATTGACAAATAAAGATAACGAAACATCACTTTACTTTAAGTATTATACGTTTTGTCTTCATTGACTACGTCGTCTATTTAAAATCATTTCATCCTATAGATTGTAATATACATCTGTGTTTGTAAAAAACTATTGTATGTTTTCTAAAATTTAAAATATTCTTTTTGGAAACATATCGTTTAAAAGCCGTTGATTTTTATATTTTAGATTGTGTGCTTCAGAATAAATTTGCAATTCTTTTCAAATATTTTTACATTCTTACATTTGAAAATCGAGTCCTTAAATTATATTTGTTACACATGTCTAAAAGTTTCCTGCACCAAGTATCAATCAATGGTTGGAGATAAGACAACACAAGAGAATAAAAGTGTTGACTCTGTAGACGATGTAAAATATTCTGATCTTTCTATGTCAGGTAAAACTTCGATTTAGCTTAGCGAAAATCAAGAAAAGTAAATATTGTAAAACGTAATTGTTGAGCGTACCATATACATATAACGTAGCCTAATAATATATATATATATATATATATATATATATATATATATATATATATATATATATAATTATATCAGTTCACCATTTCTTCATTGCATGCATTAGCATAATCCGCACCACGTTTAAATGTAATAACTTTACTTTTGTCTTTAGTTTGATATATTTTGATTATTTAGCCTTCTCCTAAAATATGCTAACATAAACAAATTTGACAAGTTGCAGCTGATTTAAGTAACAAACTGGAGCAAAGAGTAGAACGTCTTGAAACAGCGCTAACTTCTATGCAAAGTAGGAATAAAAAAACTGAAGCTGATGTGACTGAAATTAAGCAATTGAGGGACACTTATAAAACAGAAGAACAAACCCCAGTGATACATTTCTCTGCAATACACAAAGTCAGCGTAGAGTAAATAACTAGCAAATAAGATGGGTGAAATATAAACCTCGGATCTCGGCCCTTTAAAATCTCAGTGGACGCCCTTGTTAATGACGGCCATTAATAAGAAAATGATAAGTGCTCTCTTCACGCTGATCATTTTAAGTTTTCACAACCAAGAAATCCACCAACCTTCTTGAAGTTATGTGTTAGCTAGTGTAGTGCTCAGCACATATTTGCGAGAAAAGAACTTGACATTATATTTCGATATGGTTTTGAGATGTTTGCATATTATCTGTCTAAAGTGAAGATAGGTTTCAATATTCAAACATGTAAACAAACTTGAGTTTTAGTAGTATATAGTATATATATATATATATATATATATATATATATATATATATATATATATATATATATATATATATATATATATATATATATATAACTGCAATGCTCAGTAACGACCATGTTGTATTTATATACATAATTTATTATGCCCTCAACGGGGATCGCCTCTTCTTATGTAAGCCGGGTATATTGTGGAATCAACACAAATTGGTCCAAATCAATATAATGCAGTTCTTAATCTACATTTCAAATTGACTCCTACCATAACTACGTCCTAACATATAACTATCTAATAACACTATCTTACTACAACTATAACACTTGAATTCTCCCTACCCACTCCAATGATCATCATGGCTAACGAACATCACGTTATGGTCTGTCTGGCTAAAGAACATCACGGTATGGTCTGTCTGGCTAACGAACATCACGTTATGGTCTGTCTGACTAACGAACATCACGTTATGGTCGTCTGCCCAAGGAACATCACGTTATGGTCTTTCTGGTGATTTGATTTGTTTAAAAACGTACCTATTAAATTCAAATCTTTGGACAATTTTGAAATGGCATCTTCAATATTTTCCACCTAAAATGTATATTTTATAAAATGAATGAAGAAGTCACATAGTTACGTAAAACATACAATCGCTGCAATGATGTTAAGTTTTGTATGGCAACTTGTAAAAATAGAAAATAATTTAAATCATGTTTTAAATTATAACTTTAAATGTCCTGCTTAATTTAATAAAATATATATTATTAACTGGTTTATTAACAGTGTTACTGTTTAATACCGGATTTATCAACGCCGCATTTTACTTTTTAATAAAATTACTATACATATACCTTTTTTTTTCTTTCTTTTCTAGTTTCCAAGTTCTGATTAAAGATTTGAATCAGTTTGTCAATAGGCATCAATCTCTGTTGTAGTAGTGTGTACATCACATTGTGCTAAAGGGTTCCATGACAAATGATCTCAGGACAAATGATCTCAGACAAAATATCTCAGACAAAATATCTCACGGACAAATGATCTCAGGACAAATGATCTCAGGACAAATGATCTCAAGGACAAATGATCTCACGGACAAAAGATACCAGGACAAAATATATCAGGACAAATGATATCATGGACAAATGATCTCAGACAAAATATCTCAGACAAAATATCTCACAGCGAAATTTTAATAGTATTTACGATGATTTTAGTTGAACCTTTTTATTGACCGTTAATATGATTTTGTTTACTTTGTTTACGTATAATAATTGTGAATAAAATGAATTAGTGAAACCTAACAAACCATCAAAAGGTGTATTAAGCAATTGTAGTAGCATTTGATTTGAAAAAGTAAAAATTAAAACAAACTTACTGTTTTATCCTGAAAGGTTTAATAAATGATAATGTATAAAACAAAGAAACGGCAGTTATACAACATTAAGGTTCATAACACGCGAAATATCTTTCAAAATGTGAATGGGTCTGAAGGTTCGTAACGTTAAACTATTGTTTTTATTGCATCATCAGCACAAACATAACGTTTAAGTTTCTTTGCTGGCAGGTACATTAATATGATCACACCTCTCCAATACTATGTGACCATGTATTGTGTGAGCTCTTGCTCGACATGTCCTAATTTCACATTTCCAAATCTCTTTGCCTGCTTATGGCAAACATAAATTCACCAGAAACTAATGTCCTAAAACCTTTCTGCGAGGTAATCACCATTAATACTGCTTTGTTTGATGCACACTACGACATACTTAGCTCCGCGATGACCGCTGTCGTTTAAATAAGCATTGGTCACCTGATCACTAAGGTGTGAACAACGCATAACAATAGACTTTAGATACAAGTCGTATTGTCCATGGAGGGCGGATGTCTTTCCCTTAAGGTATGTCTCTGCTATCAAAGCGGGCGGCCACCTTAATACGAAGGTGTGTCTTTATTGTTATTTCATTCCCTTTGATCTAGTTTCGTCCACCTGACGTGGTAGGATTGTCTCACGTTTGTCAAGCACACCTACGCTATCTTTCGAAATTATTTCTTTAATCTTGGTATACTATATTACTAATACTAACCTTAAAATGTTTAGTGCAATATGACACATTTATATGGCAAACATTGCTTACAATTATTATATAGGCCTAGGCCTATAAACAATATTAAACATAGTAAACAAAACCATAAGACAGTCAACAACAAAAAATCAGATCAATTAAAATCACCCAATACACTATTAAAATTTAGGTGTGAGATATTTTGTCTGAGATATTTTGTCTGAGATCAATTGTCCGAGGTATCATTTGTCTTGATATATTTTGTCCTGGTATCTTTTGTCCGTGAGATCATTTGTCCTGAGATCATTTGTCCTGAGATCATTTGTATTGAGATCATTTGTCCTTGAGATATTTTGTCTGAGATATTTTGTCTGAGATCATTTGTCCTGAGATCATTTGTCCTGCTAAAGAGCAGAAGATTCAATTACTGCATTTAAATTTACTGCACATTAAAACTAACATAAACATGTGTTTTAAATCTAGTAATAATATCAAAGTGTAACTGGAGATAAAGCTACTAAGGTGTGTTTTGATTTAACCAGGTTATTAAATGTGAAATAAGTTATCTGGCCAGTATGTGTAAAATGGTGTACACAGATAATTAGAAATTTTACCTTTTCTATTTGTGTTGATGTATTGAGCATGTTTTTAGAACTCTCTAAGTGTAAGGCAGCCATTTGGTTTGAATGTCTTTTAATTTCTTGTGTTATACTGTCTGTTTTATCTGTGTGATCTTGCATCTCTTTATTTATTTTGTGTAAGTTGTTTTCATATTCTTTCATATCTAGCGACAGTTTCTCTAGTGACTTATTTAACGTGGATTGTTTTTCTTTTAAACTTTCAAATTCTTTGTTCAGCTCCTTTACATTGTTATCTTGTTCACTCAATTGTTTTCTCAGGTATTTAAAATTCTGCTTTTGTTTTTTAGTCAGTTGTTCAATGTTTACCCCCATGTCACTCTGTTCTGTTACAAAGTTGTCTCTCCATTGTTTTATTTCTGATATGTCATCTGTATACTTGTCATTGACGTCTTGTAGAGAAGATATGGCTGTCTCTATCTGCTCAAGTCGATTGACGTCTTGTAGAGAAGATATGGCTGTCTCTATCTGCTCAAGTCGACTGACGTCTTGTAGAGAAGATATGGCTGTCTCTATCTGCTCTAGTCGACTGACGTCTTGTAGAGAAGATATGGCTGTCTCTATCTGCTCAAGTCGACTGACGTCTTGTAGAGAAGATATGGCTGTCTCTATCTGCTCAAGTCGACTGACGTCTTGTAGAGAAGATACGGCTGTCTCTATCTGCTCAAGTCGACATAATATTTCTGTTGCATAATAATATAAATTTAATCGAAACATTAATTATATTGTATTTATTCTTAAATGCGTGTTCTTTGAAGGAATATTTTTAAAGACACAATAATATGTTCAAGATTTTTTTCAAATTCGTTAAAAATAGATTCTACCGTTTGTTTCTTCCACTTGTTTAGTGACTTGATTTGTTGGTACAGGTCGGTCACATTTTTCTGTTGCTGTAGTTTGTGGTGTAGCCCGATAGAAAGATAGCGTTGCTGCATCGACATCTAAAGTCTCTTTATTTTCACCTGTTATAAAAGAATATTATAAACTAAAACTTTAGTATTCCACTTTTCAGTAATGGTTTACTTCTAGTTTATTAATGACAGGTTATTGTATTGCATACATATTTACGTGTGTGAGCGGGTGATTGCAGCAGAAATTTGATTTCAAATAATAAAATATAACGCATGAAAATCACTTAGAATGTCCTAGACTCTGATAGAAAATTAAGCAATAGATTATGAGTTCTAGTTGTTCCCACTGTAGGTGATCAAGTACATAAATCTTGTAAACATTTTTTTATCTTATTGTTGTCTAATCATTTACTTATAATGTGTAACGCTGCACCCAACATGGCCGTGGTCGCTGAATCAAGTTCCTGGCAAAGCTCGATGTAGGTGATAGACGGGTTGTCATTTTTATCTTCTATCCAAATCTTGCTTTTTTCTACTGCCTGATTAGATAGAGCAAATATATATTTTTAGCAATGGAGTACATGTTATTCCATTCTATATGTTGTTATAAGTAGGCCTACAGAATATTTTTTTTTTAAATCAT